GCATAATATTTGAAGTTAACGAAAATAAATTAAAAAAAAAAAAAAAAAAAAAAAAAAAAAAAAAATTTTCCTTACCTGAATCGAAATGTGTGCTGTAGATCCACGAGTTGCTATTCTGCTTCTCGCGTCACTGCTGCAATCCAGGTGCGTTTCTCGGAAATCTATTTTCCGATTATTTATAAATTGATGTTAGTTCCAGGCCAGAGGGAGCACCCAACCACCGAGCAACAAGGATCTAATTTTAATTTTGACATTTTAAACAGCAGGATTAAATAAATGATCGTAATCCCACTGTGCATCAAGCGCCTGCCACCATTGTTTTGAATGCGCTCAAACACTAACCGGAAACGTCCAAGGAACAAAGACGTCACTTCCTTAAACCGCCGAATATCCGTTGAAATGGTCTATTAAAATTTGAAAGTATTGGTCAGATCATTAGTGTGAAGTTGTCTCTGTGTAGAAGGGAAACAGTGCAAAAGTGTGTGAACGTGTTTAAAGGGGTCCTATTATGCTCTTTTACAAAGTCTTGATTTTGTTTTGGGGGTGTACTAGAATAGGCTCTCATACTAGGTTGTTCGAAAAACACATTTTTCTTCAAATATTTTACATTATTACAACACCTCCGTCTGGAATGAATGGCTCGAATAGTTCCTGTAGTTCCAAATGAAGGCCCGCCTTCTGAAAAACTAAAATTGTAACCACTCTAAGTTCGTCTGCCTTGGGAAAGCTAGCGTGTCTCCGACATAGTGATAACACTCGTTGTCTTCTCTAGTGCAGCTCAACCAGATCTCATCCCATTCGTCGATATTTGTGATATCACAAACCATGAAAAATATGCGTTGTAGTCCAAACGAGTCGTTCGTGGTAGTTTTTGAAAAGTGATTTCTGTTAAATAAAATATCTCCTTTTGAAGTGGACTTTGGGCTTTGTAACTTCGCAGATCTTTTTTTATGCTCAAACAGCAACATTACAGACTAACTAAAGTTGAAAAAGTGAAAAAACATAATAGGACCCCTTTAACACTCGTACTCTTTGACGTCTCTGAGCTGCTCCAAATCCTGTGGTTTGGTGAGGTCTGGATCATGAGCTAGAAGATGGATCATGTATGGCACCACATATTCTGGCAGGAGAGACAGCAGCTTTTCTGAAAAACAAAACAAAAACAAAATAGAAATAAATCAAACACACAGGATATAGAGGTCCTGGCCATTCCAGCAATTCTGCAGGATATAGAGATATTGGCGCAGTGTTATGTGTGATACCAGAAATCAGAAACGGTACCTACCAGGTGCCATAGGGTTCTGTTTGATGTACTCTCTGCGAACACTGATGTTCTTGAGCAGGCACTGTCGGGCATGAGCACGTCGCTCTTTCACTGGGTCTTTAGCGCACAATGCAAACACAGCCATGTACTCCAGTGGCAACAACAGCTTCACCAGAGCAACATGCAACTTCTGAGCAAAGATCTGCCGCACCTGATAGCACTCGTCCTATAAAGAGAGGGGAAAGGGAAGGAAAAAGCTGAAAAGATGTGAAGTTGTGGCTAATATACGCTTTTGTAGCATGTTCTTATGTCCACTTGTTATTTGATGATTCTTGTTGTTTTAATAAGCATTTTTTTGGTTCCTGTACTTGTACGATTTTTTAAATATAAATAACATGGTAGAACATATTACATTTAGATTTATGCATTTGCCAAATGCAAGTGTCATTCCATGTTATTGACCTTGGCATTACTAGCACTCTCATCTACAAGGAAAATCCTTAGGGATGCACAATATATCAGTACCATTAACAATTAACATTAGACATTTTTCAATTTATCAGCATCAGTCGATATTGGATATTGTCCTGTAATTTTAATAATTTAATAACTTTCTCTACAAATAGAGTTTTCAGAATTGGTATAAAAGAAGTCTTGTTGAACTCACATTAATGACGAGTCCACAGAGCTGGAACTGTTCTGGAGTGATGATTTCATGGTAACAGGGCTCTTGTGCCAGTTTCATGATGGCGCTTCCCGCTGCAAGCCTCAGTCGAGACATGTCAGACTTGCTGTGTCCACAAATATGTGTGTTAGGGGTCTATTAGCCATATTAGGGCAGCTTTCATAATTGTATACAAAATCACTCTGGGGATGTTAAAGCTGAAAAGATGTGAAGTTGTGGCTAATATACGCTTTTGTAGCATGTTCTTATGTCCACTTGTTATTTGATGATTCTTGTTGTTTTAATAAGCATTTTTTTGGTTCCTGTACTTGTACGATTTTTTAAATATAAATAACATGGTAGAACATATTACATTTAGATTTATGCATTTGCCAAATGCAAGTGTCATTCCATGTTATTGACCTTGGCATTACTAGCACTCTCATCTACAAGGAAAATCCTTAGGGATGCACAATATATCAGTACCATTAACAATTAACATTAGACATTTTTCAATTTATCAGCATCAGTCGATATTGGATATTGTCCTGTAATTTTAATAATTTAATAACTTTCTCTACAAATAGAGTTTTCAGAATTGGTATAAAAGAAGTCTTGTTGAACTCACATTAATGACGAGTCCACAGAGCTGGAACTGTTCTGGAGTGATGATTTCATGGTAACAGGGCTCTTGTGCCAGTTTCATGATGGCGCTTCCCGCTGCAAGCCTCAGTCGAGACATGTCAGACTTGCTGTGTCCACAAATATGGGTGTTAGGGGTCTATTAGCCATATTAGGGCAGCTTTCATAATTGTATACAAAATCACTCTGGGGATGTTGACACCCAGTCGGTACCTGATCTTTTTCTGCTCAGTGAGGTCTCCCTCGCTAACCAGCATGGCTGAGAGGAGTCTGAGAGTAGAGTTAGCTGATTTAGACTGATTATTCTTCATTCCCAGCAACCAGCGGACCAACAGCTTAATGGCATGCACCTGGCAACACACACGCACATTAATACACACACAAATCACCAAGAGATGTTGTTTTCAACCTGATTACTCAAAGAAATTTTACCTTAGCCAGCACTTCAGGGGAAACCTCATCGTCAGCTGTCCAGAGCCGTCCATTCTTGTTTCCCACAGACTGAGAGATAGAGAAGGCTTGTTTAACATGCAAGGCAATAAAACCATTCATACATGCTAAAAGCAGAACAGCACATCAAAATGCTTACCCTGTCATTCATCAGAAGGTCCTTCACGATAAAATTGGCTACAATTGACTTCATGGGTGACGCAAATTGATCCGGGGCCAGCATAGAAATGTGTCCAAGAGACACGAGAGGAGTGATGAGCTGTTCAGGCACGTCTGCATTCAGACTGCGAGACAACGGCTGGAACAAGAGACAGAGACAAAAAAGCACATTTGAAAAATTCTCATGCAGCAAAAATTTTCTTGATTGTAATATTCACATGATTTGACAGTCAAAAAAGTGGTGTTATGCATTTGCTGGCATTTTAGGAAAAATGCTTTTATGCACTTTGATTTACCTCAAATATATTTAATTAGAAGATTGAGAATAACAGCTTTTAAAGTAATAACAAAATTTTGTTAAAGGACTGGTTACATTTAGTTTCCAAAGTACATTCTATGGAGATGATAACATGAAATTAAGAACAAAAGTGTACTTTTTGAAAAGATATGGGCACCTCTAAAAATAAACGGTATAATATATGTGTATATACATATATATATATACACATACATATATTAGTGCTGTCAAACGATTAATCGCATCCAAATTAAAAGTTTTTGTTTACTGTGCATATTAATTATGTATGTTTAAATACAAACACATACAGTATATATTTTGAAAATATTTACATGCATTTACATGTATATATTTATATTATACAAATATATTTAATATATAAACAGCATATTTTTCTTAAATATATGCATGCGTGTGTATTTATATATACATAAATACAGTACACACACACACAATGTGAACAAAAACTTTTATTTTGGATGCGATTAATCGTTTGACAGCACATATATATAACACACACATATATATAAACATTTTAAGAAAAATGTATGCACTTTGATTTACCTCAAATATTTGAGCTAACTGGACCTCTTTGTTGTGAAAAATGGCATGGATGCAGTGGACCGCCTGTTTGGCCTGGTGGGGGGTGCCTCGTTTTGCCTTCTGATGTAGTATGGGAATTAGAGTCCTGCACAAAGATAACAGAACAACGTTTTACTACATCAAACTTTTGTATTTGATTTGAATAAAGCTGACGAGACTTGGTACTGGTTCTAAACAGTTGTGTATGCGCATGTGGGAGTTGTTCATACGAGCGAATCTGTGGCAGTTCTGTCTCAATCTTTTGTCCTGTGTTTCTGAAGATCTGTATTGCTGCTTCTGCCACTTTATCGTCCTCCATCTTCAGACACTGCAACAAAGACTCGTACGTCTCAGCCGAGTGGAACGCAGTGGGGTGAGTAAATGACAAAACCTGAGGTAGGGACAGATAGAACAGCAAACTATAAAATATTATTTAAATTATTAAAAAAATATTTAAATAAAATATTTAAAAACTTTAGAATATTTAATATATTATTTAAATTATTAAAAAATATTTAAATAAAATATTTAAACTTTAGAATATTTAATATATTATTTAAATCATTATTACAAATATTTAAAATATAATACATTAAAGTATTCAAGAACATGACTCAGAATGAGTCTTCTAATACTTGGTATTTAAGGGGAGCAATAGCCCATATATTTTTTAGCAATTACATTTTTATTAATATATTTTCATATTAACGTGACTGTATGTCTACATAGTACTTCAAACTCTTATTTAAAAAAAATATATATATATAGAAATCCTGTTTTCCCTGATATTTAAACTTGTGCATTTGTAGTTACAAACAGTACCTTGAGTAGCTCAAGTCCAGCACGAATGGCAGTATCAGGGGTTACTCCCTCATCATCATCATCAGCAGTGCCCTCAACTGACTTATTTAACAGCTTAACCAGGGCACTGAACACACACACACACACACACATATATATTATTGGTGATCCAAAAAGTCTACACAATACTTGCAGTTACACTTCATCCTCACTAGATGTCTCACCCTTAAAAAGCTATTCAGACTGTTACACAACCGTTGAGAGGAAAGAAGCACATGGCCCATATTGCGCCTATCTCTCTCCCACTCAGTCAGTTTCTCTTCCCCTCTCATTCATGTTCTCGCTTTACATCTGCAGGTGCACTGATAGGAGTCCATATCCGATATTGCACAAAGTGCATGCATTCTTTATTTCCATTTGTGCACAAAGTGCATGCATTCTTCCAATTCTAATTTGCTCTTCAGATTAGATTTTTTAAACTGATTGTCTGCAGTTATTTTGCAGGTGCCCAAACTGAAATTTATTTGGGCATTGTAGTCCATGTACAGTATATTTACAGTAGTTATTTTAGTAACGAATTAAGCTTGATTGACAGCACTTGTGGAAAAGAATGGGCTCATCCCTCACAAAAAATACTACAATAAAATTATAACAAAAATATATAAAAAAATTTTTTATTTTTTTTTGCTAGATGCATGTTCATTGACTTCCCTCCAAAACAAAGAAATTTCTCATCTGCCGTTTGACCTCATCGCCTACCTGATGGCCTCAGAGTCAATGTGCACCGGTGCGATTCTCTCCAGCAAGAATTTCACCATCTCCAGGAATGGGTTTGTGGGCTGCTTAGGGAATGTTAGCTTCCGTGTGATTTCCCTCTAAAAAAAAAAAAAACCCTTAGATGACTAATATCTGCTTAATATTTACATAGCTTTTTACAGTGTTGATTGGAACAGGTCTTAATCATATGCATTATATAAAGCAAGCTTATGAACAGTTACCATGTCAGCTTAAAAGCGCAGTACTGAATGTGATTGGTGGAGATAACGTTGTTAAACTCACCACACACTGTTCAGCCTGTTTACATGAGCAGGTGGGACTGATGAGTTGGTCAAGCTGAAGACGGAGTTTCTCATCCTCACCCAGAACCTGATTAAACTTCTTCATAAAGTCCTGAGCTTTACCTGGGTCTGGGAGATTCTCTGAGAGTGAGAGAGACAGATTACACATTGTAAAATCTGTAGGTTTTAATATCTATCCATTTACAGGCATTTATGAAGTATGAGCTTACTAGCGATGGTCATAAGTTTTCCAAACATGGCGCTGGTGTTTGCTTCAGACTACAGGAAGAGAAAAACAAATTAGTCACTCATCCACAGAAGCAAAATTCATATGTGCATTGTACAGTCACAAAATAAGAACAAACTGCTTCTTTGATCCCCACCACTCATTTCTAGCTGAACATTTATTTAATATTATATATATATATACATATATATATATATATGAAGAGTTTATTTGCAAAAACAGATAACTCAAAAATCATGTTTTTTTATTATGTAATCATGTTTTTATTGTGTTTTATTGTGTTAGTTTGCTGTAATTATTAGTAATATTTTAACCTAATCAAAATAACCCAACTAAAGTTTGATTGAGATCAACTGGAATGCACAATGAAAAAACATGATTTCTGAGAATTGTTAAAAATGTTATCTGTTTTTGCAAATAAACTCTTCATATATATATATATATATTTTTTTTTTTGTCACTGAATCTGTCTTGTACTAATGCTTTGGCATGTAAAACGGTCAAGATAATAAAGCACTTTGATTAGGTCTGACAGTTCTGATTATATAATAATAATAATTCTAAGACCAAAATATATAATATTATATATATATATACATATATATATATATATGAAGAGTTTATTTGCAAAAACAGATAACTCAAAAATCATGTTTTTTTATTATGTAATCATGTTTTTATTGTGTTTTATTGTGTTAGTTTGCTGTAATTATTAGTAATATTTTAACCTAATCAAAATAACCCAACTAAAGTTTGATTGAGATCAACTGGAATGCACAATGAAAAAACATGATTTCTGAGAATTGTTAAAAATGTTATCTGTTTTTGCAAATAAACTCTTCATATATATATATATATATATTTTTTTTTGTCACTGAATCTGTCTTGTACTAATGCTTTGGCATGTAAAACGGTCAAGATAATAAAGCACTTTGATTAGGTCTGACAGTTCTGATTATATAATAATAATAATTCTAAGACCAAAATATCGAACTATTTTAATAAAACTGCAAAACTATATAAAATATAAATCTTGGGTGAACTACGACTTTAACAACTAAAGAGAGCATTAAGGTGAGTGTGAGTTATCAGACCCTTTATATGCTGTGTTTGTGTGTGCATGTTCCAATAATAGAGCCACATATGTAAGTGAGAGTGTATTCGTGTCTGTGTAACCTACTGTAGGCAATTTGTGCAAATCCAGCAGTTCTCGAACCAGCCCTCGCAGCATATTCTGACACTTCCACATTTCATTCAGTGCTCTGAAAAACAATGAGATGCTCTGCTTGATATAACTGAACACATGAGTGCTGTTAATAGAAGTACAGTGATACTGTCCAAAACTGTCAGATGAGAACCAGAGAGGTTTTTAAAATAGTCGATTAAGACTCACTTGACTGCGTTAGTGTCCAGACAGGCATAAAGGTAGTACAGACACTTCATCTTCTCCTCAGTCTCCAGACTGTGAGGAACCATGTTCTGGGCAAAGATCTTCTCCACCAGCAACCTAATAAAACAAACACACTTTAAGGGCCTGAGGTTTCCATATTAGACATGCTTCACTGTTTTAATGTCAATAAATTAGTCAATGAAGCACATGAAACCATTTGTGTGTATCCTACTTGTCATCTATGCTGTTCTGGTAGTAGATGTGTAAGAGTTTGTCTTTGATCCAGCTGATTTTCAAAGCGGACTCCTTCCCGGCCTCATGGTGCAGACAGTACTTCTTATAAAGCTGAGCCAAACCCATCATTGCTTCCTTACGGACACGCCACTGAAACAAAACATGCTAATTTACTTTCATCTAAAAAACCAGAGGTCTTAAAAAATTAAGGGATGTGTGGGGTTCTGTGTTCTTTCTCAGTTCTCGTTTCATTTACACTCTTAAGTGATTTGGATTTGAATTAGGGTTCCATGATATTTCAAAATAAAATCTATATCTCAACATTGAGTTGAGTGTGACTAACAAATCGCAATGCAATTTATCCTATTTTCCAGAATATAAGTTATGTTTTTTTAACTGTGTTGTGACAAATTCCAAAATTACTTATTTAACATAATTACTTATTTAGCATGTCAAGGATGCTGTTATGCATAAAGGTAAGTGGATATTGGGACACGAGTGAAGTACAAACCTACATTACAAATAATAGTTTAGCAACCAAATGCTAGGCTACACTGCAAATGTGGAATAATTCGGATTTGTGCTGAATGAGAGAGGTACGTACGCCAAAAGCCGGTTTTACTTTACCAAATGTTGTTTATAATGAATACCACTATAATGTTTATAGTGTAAATGTCTCATTTACAAACATTTTACATTATTTCTGAATGTAATAACATGCGTCATACGACTTATAAACTGATGCGATTTATCTGGGGGGTTTTTTTCTTCTCTCAATAATGCAATTTTGTCCTGGTGCGACTTATACTCAGCTACAACTTATTTATGGAACATATGGTAAATATATGCATTCTGTTAATATATTCACTAACCTGCAGCACATATATTTATTTGGTAACACTTTACAAAAAGGTTCAATAGTTAAAATTAGTTAACTACTTTAGTTAACAGGAACTAAGAATGAACAACACTTCTACAGCATTTATTCATCTTAGTTAAAGTTAACTGCAACATTTACTAATGCATTATTAAAATCAAAAGTTGTGCTTATTAACATTAGTTAATGCACTGTGAATTAACATGAACTAACAATAAACAACTGTATTTTCATTAACTAACATTAACAAAGATTAATAAATACAGTAATAAATGTACTGTTCATTGTTCATTCATGTTAGTTAATACATTAACTAATGGAACCTTATTGTAAAGTGTTACCATTTATTTGCTGACAAAACAGCAAAATAAAAGCTTAATGGCTTAATGTTTGAAAATGAAGAAATTAAGATGCAAACAGTAGTATTGCACTTTTACAGTTGTACTATAAACGTTTTTTTATTAAATACTTAATTTTACAGTGCAAAAGTCTCTTTTTAATAATTTTTCAATAATACATTTTTTTATAACTACAAAAAAAGGATCTAATATTATTAAATAGCCATACTGAATGGGTCAAAAAAGTGGGAATGCAGCCTAAGAGATAGAAGGTAAGGGTGTCATTTTTATGTTCAGTTTAATAATTTCTATGCTCTATTAGGGCTCTAGACTGCGACCCTTTTTTGAGAATGTGAGAGTAAAATTTGACGTGGCCGCCTCATTTGTGTGAGTGCCTATTAACATTCAACACACCCATGCAGAAAGTAAGGAGCGTGAGATTTCAGATTTTTGTTACTATATAACTATAAACTAATATCATGCAGCCCTAATTTAAATTGAGCTCGGATGACTTTAGGGTACATCTTTCTCACCCTCTTGTCCAACATCCTCTCTCTGACGAATCCCAACAGTTGATCATTCACCAGGTTCAGGTCTTTCTTCCCTGCGTTGATGATGGTCACAATGACATCATGCCTGATTGCCTCCTCTGGGTCATGTGATCTCACCTTCAGAAAATCTGATGTGACAGACAGACAGTTACGCAAGATGTTTACGAGTCAAGCAAATGCTTAAGATGGAAAAAAATCAGCCGACATTAATCCTGAACACACCTGTAAGATCCTTGGCAAGGTCCGGGTGGTTCATCAGACAGTGGCTAGCAAACTTCACACATTCCAGTCTCACGGGAACATGGATGTCGTTGAACCTTTTCGAGAGGAAAATAAAAAGCAAATCATATAATAACCAGGTTCAGGTCTTTCTTCCCTGCGTTGATGATGGTCACAATGACATCATGCCTGATTGCCTCCTCTGGGTCATGTGATCTCACCTTCAGAAAATCTGATGTGACAGACAGACAGTTACGCAAGATGTTTACGAGTCAAGCAAATGCTTAAGATGGAAAAAAATCAGCCGACATTAATCCTGAACACACCTGTAAGATCCTTGGCAAGGTCCGGGTGGTTCATCAGACAGTGGCTAGCAAACTTCACACATTCCAGTCTCACGGGAACATGGATGTCGTTGAACCTTTTCGAGAGGAAAATAAAAAGCAAATCAGAATTCAACTCTCAAATAACATACACATTCCAAATTTGTCTTTCAGGCCAGTTTTTTAATGGTAGGAGATCCTCACCTTCCCAGAAAGCACTGCCAGAGTGGGCGATTCTGAGTGGCCAGTTCAGAGTCCTTTGCTCCAAAGAGCTTAGCTAACAGTTTCACCACAGCCAACCTCTCCTCTCCATCATTACTCTAAACAGGCAACAACAAACAGATTTAGTCTTCCTCTAAAGGGGTTTGTCTGCAAGCTGGTGCGCAAGGAAATGTATGTGCATTTACTCACCTTCAATTTGAACTCAAGTTGTGGCATCACAGAGACAAGGAGCAGAGGGTCGATTGCAAAGAGCTCCTGAATGAGGTCAAATACATGCTCAGACAGATCACTCACGGAGGACTTTCCCATCACCAACACCTGATTAAAGAACTACGGAGAAAGAGATTCTTAAGTCAATACAACACAAAACAGGAATAGAACACGTCATTGAAATGCACTGAACTCTGAAAGGACAACAATTCAAATGGATGAGCCAAAAAAACATTGTATGGGTCAAAATTATCGATTTTTCTTTTATGCCAAAAATCATTAGGATATTAAGTAAAGATCATGTTCAATGAAGATATTTTGATTAGTAATATGCATTGCTAAGAACTTCATTTGGACAACTTTAAAGGCAATATTTAGATTTTTTTGCACCCTCAGATTCCAGACTTTCAAATAGTTGTATCTCGGCCAAATATTGTCCTATCCTAACAAACCATACATCAATGGAAAGCTTATTTATTAAACTTTCAGATGATGTCTGAGATTGAAAATCTCAATTTTAAAAAAGTGACCCTTATGACTGGTTTTGTGGTCCAGGGTCACATATGAAAAACAAACAGGTAAATATTGCTGCAATGTGGCTTATAATCCAATGAGCCTGAAAGTACATTTAAAACATGCATGCATACACAACCAGTCATTTGTAAAAACTCAGCAAAGAAAAGCTATGACTAAATGAAATGAATAAACTCTTTATCTGACTGATTGAATGAACCATCTCACCTCTAGTAAGTAAAAATATCTGTTGAACTGAGGGCTCTTGGTATCCTCTAATCCCTTCAACTGTCGTGTAATGAAGAGGAAAATTTCCTAGATGGGAAAAAAAGACAATTAATGACATTGGTGTGCTTTTTTTAAACTGCTTACAGCTCATCTTAATTTTGTGTCGTTTTATATGTGAGAGTGGGATTGTGTGTAGGATGGTGAAAAATGACAGCTTGACATGAGGTGCAAATGCGTGATCAGTTTTTAGTAATATATTTTTAGTGTGAGCCATATGGGTATAAGTCATATGTGAGATATGAATTTTATCTTTTGAGGAGTACATGTCATACCTTGAGCTTGTCATGTGAGGTGTATGGGGCCTCTGGAGCGTAGATCCTGAAGATATCAGCAAGACAGCAGGCCACAAGTAATCGTACATCTTTGTTGGGGTTTCGCAAGAAAAACTCAGATGCCAAGTGAAGAGCCAGAGCCAAGTACTGCTGCTTTTCCTCCTCTGAGTCTTGATCCATGTCCATATATGTCTTAACCACCAGCTATAAGACAGAGAGGTGTCATGTAATACCGGTTTCTCTTATACAGTGAACAAAATCTCAAACCATTTATTAATTTTGTAAAAGGTTCAACTTCAGACACAACCTACCTTTTACACATTGCATATCTGTAAAACCTATTTAACAAAACTTTAAACACTATATAGCTTGTTTGCAATCACGTGATTCTAACGACGCGCAAAATTCAGATGGAGGGCAGGAAGCAAAGAGCAGAACGGATGAGATGGTACTGGTTTAGACACTATTACAAGAGAAAGGTATAAACAGAAAATCACAACATATGTTGGATGTGATCCAAATGTTATGAAGAGGAGTGATTTTTCAACTAAACTGAAATACTTGCCTGCCATCGAGGTGGATGTGGATATAGGCTAAGCAATTGCTTACCTGAACTAACCCTGATTGCAATCAAGCTATTTCGAAAGTGAATCCCACATTTATATGAGGGACGTGGGATATATCACTCCTGAAACTTTGCTGCATGTACAGGGTATGTGGCCGCTGGTCCTGTTAGCAGCACGTAAAACAAAACTTTTATTCAAACTCTGAATTGATGATAGCCTAGAAAGCGAGCAATTAGCGCTTCCATATAATCACTAAAAAGCTGTCACTCACTTTAATTTATCACAATCTCACAATGTTCCGCTATAATCAGTGAAGCTCTCTAAACTGCACATATAATATCTTATTTACATTGTGTCTATGTGTGGCGTTTAGCATTGAGTGAATTCTGACTGTCTCATGCCGAATGCATGAGAGTTGGCAGCCCTGTATCTATTTATTTATTAATATCTTAATATATTTTTATATCTTATATTAGGCTTGCCGCGATAGACGGTGCTACCGGTGTTAAGCCACAACACCGGTTATGTCACTTGCCCATCGCGTCACATCGTTTAGATTTTTTATAGTAATAAAAATCATTTAGTTCAGTAAAAGAACAGACACTACAATTAAAAACTGTATGTGGCTGCTCAATGCAGCGTGCCGAACGACAGTCGCATCACAGATCAGATTTAATTTCTCCAGTGAGGAGAGCGAGTCGAGCCGACTGACAAGAAGAGTGAGGCGAGACAGACGAGACGATCGCGGATGATTTAGTTTCGAAACTAGATGCAAAAGCACCTGTTTGGCAATATTTTGGATTTTGAAAGGCATGTTGACTTTTGCCGTTTATCTAAGGTGATTTTGGAAGTTTTTTTAAACATTTGTTTCTTATTTAATTGGTTCCACATTGTTTGCTGATTTTTACTTTATTTAAACTGTGTCATTTATTTTATTTGATATTCGTTTTGCTAATAAACGTTCTACGTTTCTCATTTATTTGGTTATATATTATACATGTTTACTTATTTCCAGTTTTGTATACCTATTAAACTTTATGCAAGTTATTTGTTATTTTATATTAGGCATAGCTTGCCCTATAGCATGGTGTATTTTTATTTGTTTTGTTAATAAAAGTTATGTTTTACATATAGGCTAAAGTGAGTTTGAAGTTGTATTTTGTTGTTGCATTTAAGCAATTGACGCCGAACTGCCGTTAATTCAAAAGTGAAAGTAAAATGGGCACACCGCTTTTACAAGCTATTTAAAAGAGAAGGAAAGCGAGGAAAAGAGGGAACGCCCTGCCCCCACGGTGATACCGGTGTTACCGGTGTTGTCACACGTCGATTAACCGGTGGGAAAATTTCCTCACCATCACAACCCTATCTTATATTAACCATTTGCACACATGAGCATTATCCGACTCGGCTCCTCCCGACCAAGCCACTTTTTCTTGTGTTTTTCAGTCAATTTCTTGCCCTTTCCCCCCTTATGAACAACTAATTTTCGTACATGATAAAAGCTCCTCGAAGTTTCTCGGTTTGAGCATCCATAAACAATGCAAAACATTGAATTTCATTTTGAATTTCTGCTAACAAATCCTATACAGAAAAATCACTTCCTGCCCTCCAGCTGCATTTCGCCCCACAGCAATGACGTCATGTGCAAACAACCTATAGCTATGGCATCGATACATTAATTACATTAGCATTTATTAAATCTACATCAACAAAGTGAAGGGAATGCATCTATCAACCTTATTTGTAAAGGTAAGAATATTACATTATTATAGTTATCGTAAACCAAACAGTTCAGGGCACAAATAGTTTTACTGCATTTTGCAGACATATGAATTGCTACCGATTCATCACACCATGACTATGACTGAGAGAACAAAACCATGAAACAGACAGTCCTCATAACCCTGCAACAGTTTTACACCACTCTCTCCTCTTCAGTATCTCATCAGCACAAGCTTTACACAAACAGCAGAGACAGAGGAATAAATGCAAGCAGCTCGAGTCAGCTCACACAGGCTAACTTTTACTGCATCAAAACCAAACTTGGCAAAATAACAACACACTATTATTTTTCTTGTCAGAGCTAAAGAACGTGTTTGTTTTGTAAGAGCACATTTGTGAAGAGCACAAATAAGGCTTATTAAACATTGACTCTGGAAATCAATGCATCAGGTCACATGTGTATATATAGGTGGACACCGATTATGGATCTTATTTTTTTAAAGCTTTTTGTTTTAAGGCCAAGGTGTCTGTGAATTTCAGCAACAAGTGAATGCGATTTATTTTAAGAAATGTAACTACTTTATTATTTTAAAATAGTTATTAGAAAATCTTATATTTACAATCATATTAACATGTTCTGGTCCTCCAATATACCATGAATGCTGATACTGAGTACAGTATAGGACAGCATCACACTGCTCGTTCACAATGTTCCATATGTATGTGGTGCAGAGTGACCGCTTAAAAGTAAGAGTTAGGGGTGGGTGATATGACAAAATCATACATCACGATATCAGTAATTTTATTTCATATATTTATTTTTGCTTTAAATAAGGTCTTTATGGTATCAACATTTTTGATAGCAGAAATGTCATCATTCTTGTCACCAGCGTCAATATCACAAAAATTAATACTAGCCTAAAAAAAACAACAACAACAACAAACACTCAAGCTCACTGAAGACAAGTAAACAGTCAGCGATTAAATAAGAAACTAATTACAAGCAATAGGACAAAATAACTACAGTAGAGCAAATAAATAAGAAATGTGTAGTAATCACATGCATAAAAACACTGCACAGCAGGAATATTAGACTGCTGTCACTTTATGAGCTGCCCGGATTCAATATTTGTATTGAAAAATCCATTACTTGTCTGATTTAGTTTGGGAGTAATTTGGAATAATTTCTGACTACCAAAAATAACATTGTAAAAGGCCCTCGCAGGTGCAGTTCAGACTGCAATCTTTGTTAAGTGAAATGCAAATAGTGACAGATCGTTTCCTCCGTATTGTGACATGTAATGGATTATCAAACAAAAATGTAGTGCAGGGACTAGATCTGTTGTTGATTGGATTTACCTCTTCATAAAAGCAAAGTCATACATTGCTAAAGGTAAATAATTAAGCTATTCTTCCCTGTAGAACTCATCTTTCAGAAGCATGCAACACTTCTAGGTCTAAGACCCAGCAGAAATTATGTTCTCTACTTTCTGCCTCTCTCTGCCGCCTGTGAGTGTGTGTGCGCGTGAGAGTGAGAGAGAGAGAGAGAGAGAGAGAGAGAGAGAGAGAGAGAGATATTTGCAAAGTGGGGGAAGGGTGGCTTGTGCTCTGAGCTCAAGGACATCAGTTGAGCTTCACTCACTTTGAGCGTCAAAACAGCACACTGGCAAAAGCAGCAAGCCCAGCAGTCACTCCAAATACCTCCAAAAGACTCAGATACCCACCCTAACAATGTTTACCACTTTTGCATATTTAATAAGAGAATAATAGAGTGAAAGAATCTCTGGAAATGTGTATGAATGGATTGCTACAAAAAGTTCTTTAGTTCATGTGAGAGAAAAAAGTAACGTATGGCACTATATTTCATGGAGATTTCACAATTATTTCCTCCATCTGTGGATTTTTTGGGGAGGCGACCTAATTCATGTTTACTTCATGAAAAGTACAACCTCAGACCTAGAAATCAGACCGTTAAATGTGGTTTGAAACTACTCTTTATGGTCAGAACATGACAAACATGTCACGTTTTTGAATTCTTTACATGTTTTCAGTCATTTTTCTTCAACAAAATAAATAAATCTTAATTAAAAAAAATATTTCTTAGTTTCTGCAGGTTCTAATGAGTGATAGTTTCAAATCATGAATCAGGTTTGTGTTCCTGACTTTGATGACGTGTATCTTCAGCACAGTTTGCAGTGCAGGCTGCAATATTAATAATATAAATAGTTTTCTCTTAGAAATGCACATTTGACAGTAGCTTGGGTTGACCGTAGTAGCAGCTTGAGTTCGGATGCAGATGTACATTCAGTGTTTCCCCTAGGTTTACGGCTTTGGGGGGTTATAGTTTTTCTTTCCTTTTTAATGGTTAAATTACATTTTATTAATCAAAAAGCATGTCTAATTAATTAAAATCATGAAACTTAAACAATTTAACATCAATTTATTAAAAGTTTAACAAATATTCCATGTTTAGGGCCCTAAGAAATGTTTTATTTTTCCAACCTTATGTTTTATTGTAACCAAATTCTGTTTTAGCGTGTCTAATTATTTGAAAGCATAAAACAAGTTTAATTTATTCTTACAACAGCCTTATGATCTTTTGCTCAGAAATTCTGTGTTGTGTATTAAACTTTTTTTTAAGGCATAAAACATTACTTAAAAGATAGATTAAATGAATGAAAATTAAACCAATTTTATTTTTTGGAAAATAAAGGTCATTTAATATTACAATTAAAACATTTAAGAAATATTGTATGCTTATTCCTTAAAAATAAGGTTTTAATAATTTTAGTAGAAGTAGTAGTAGCAGTCTGTTACGTACATTCTACTCAACAATAGTAATATATTTCTGCTGCAATGTCTTCAAGTTAAACCAAACTTTTATTTTGACGGGTTGCCGTGAATACCTTTACATTT